GAACAAGGATTCGGAGGTAATTTATTAGGATAGCTGATTCTTTCGGATTAGGACCCTTGGTTTGTCAGCCGCATTCCTGAACTCGATCCATGACTTTATCGATCCATGACTTTTCCGTACCCGAAGTCGTACGTTTCAACATAATGTGGTAAATGCGTCATCATTTTTCCTCCCAGACACATGCATTTATGTAACTGTAACACTGTTCAAACGGCTTATATTCCCCCTCTTCTCAATTCCACATTTATATCGAATCGGTCTCCCCTTTCCTGCATAACTGGACTGAATATCAAGGAGCGCTCGGCGGCGTCTGTGGTTGAAGATACTTTGATTGTGATGAGTTGGAGCATATTGTGGGCATACACTGAGACTTGTCGAAAATACCTCACGGTTGTGACTAGTAACCATGTTGTAGACAGGAATACCGCCACGTCATGTTGAACTTAATGCTGAAATACATAGATGCTTCGCGGATATTGGGTTTCATAAGGGAATCTTTCTAACCGCAAGCGTTTCCAGTCTGTGTTAAGGGGCAACATAACTGTTTTGTCTGAATCGGCGTTGTAAGAACCCCTAGTTCTAACCGTGTTTTCGTGAAATGTTATGGCTGTGTAATTCTTTATTCTGTTTATAAGGAGTTTGGTCCAGAGTACAATGCATGATGACACTATCAATGAGTAAATTCGAAACAAAATATCTAGGCTGCACTTCACATTCAATTGGAAAATATTAAACTCAGCATCAAATATCTACAAGCAATAATCCTAGAAGTGTTCAAGAAAATGAACACGACCATGTCTCCATTCTTTTATCAGTGTCCCAAGAATGGTGATCTGCCTTAAATGCTGGCAATCTATAGCCGGTTTTATATTGCATTTTTCTGTTCCACTTTTAGAGATAGACGCTGGCTTTAAATTCTGGTTCCTTTGTCCTTTGGCCTAAAAAATGTTGTGGTTCCGATTACCCGACCGTCTCTTGAATTCTGGTGCCGACCCTAGTGTTTTTTTTAAGAGGTATGAATAAACTAAGCTTTCAGAAACCATTGTTTTTCCCGGCACCAATGGACATCCGTTCTGATGAGAAAGTCGACATCTGTCGTTCTTGATAGATGTGTTATTAGTTCAAGTCGACATGATGGCCGTCAAGCCGATTGAATAAACAATTACACATTGATAAATGTTGTTATTAGTTCAAACTTCAGTCAGTCATACTTCTGAAAAAAAAAGTAAAAAAGAAAAGAATTCCTACCTACCTACCCTAACTTTTAAAGAGGTGTAATCGGAACAACAACATTTTTTTATTTGTCCTTTTTGTTTTTACTGTCCTTTGTCGACTGTTTTTATAACTTCAATGTGTTTATCATGTTTGTTGAACTTGTTTTAGTCACGATATAGCTGAAATACTGTCACTAACGATGACTGCAACGGCCAAGTCTAAATATATTGTGACGAATGTGATATGCAAGCTAAATATATTTCGGCTGATATGATGCACAAGCTATCAATTTAACTTGTGAGAATATCACAATTAGACATGTTACAATGACTTGTGAGAATATCACAATTAGACATGTTGGTCATTGTTGGAGGTCCTATCGCATTGAGACGAAGTTTGTTCCAAAACAACAATAATTGTACAGGGTAAACCCGGTTTTTCCCTTCCCATTCCATGTGTATATATAATGTATGCCATAAAATCCTTATCAATTGATAGGCGTTACCATGACAACTGTGAACAATGATCAACAGTGTCTGGAAATGCCAGGGTATAAACCAGCATAAACAACAAGGGTGTGGTCAGACGGGATCAGAGAGTCGGAGGAAGGTTTATTTGCTGTTCCGACTGACTCCGTGTTTTTTCAAGTGATCGGAACCTTGGCTTCAATGGCGAAACCCTGCTTTGATAATGGTCGTATGCGTAATAGCGTGGATCGAAATATCCTCAACTTATGCTATAGGCCTATCGGTGTCACATCAAAATGTAAGGGCGAAGACATGGTCATCATTGTAACCTTTAAACATTCGGCGTGACCACCCGCGTCTTTCAATAAGTTACAATTGAGGTTGCCCCGGAACGACCCCAGTGGTCCTTTGTATAAATATATGGTTGTTGTTCACACGTTGAATATGGAAGTATGTAGAAGAGTGGTATACAGTCACATCTTTAGGGTAACGTTAGAGGGGGTTCTATGCCCCGGAACGACCCCAGTGGTCCTTTGTATTAATATATGGTTGTTGTTCACACGTTGAATATGGAAGTATGTAGAAGAGTGGTATACACTCACATGTTTAGGGTAACGTTAGAAGGGCTCTACTCAAAATAAACTCGACCGGCGCACTCTGGCAACTGTTGGTACTATGCTGCAGTAAGAAGGGTAGCCGGCTGTACGAGATGAAATGATGGTTTAACGTCGTTTGTAGGGTCATGTGAGGGTTATTGCACTCAAGTCGGGACGTGACATGCACGTGTATTTGTGGCTGCTTTTACTATAGCCTCGACTTCCGGCTATTTAGTGCTAGCTCACTGAGATGTCATAGTTTAGCGTGGACCCATATTTAGTTTAGACATATGCGCAGTTTGACAGTGTCATCAAAATGTCAATCAAATTTAACATTTCTTTTAATGACAGTACATAATAGAGGAAACAATAGTTCAACTTTGCCCGCCAGTTTGTATCCTTGCAAATTTCACCTGTAAATGTTTATATTTGAAAGTTTAGTCTGTACAGAAACAACGACTGATTGTGAAATAGTTTAGTGCTTATATACTTCTCTTCAAAAGTTTAGACTCACTTAAAACACTCACTATATGTTATGTATATATATATATATATGGTTACAGCGAAGATTGATTTCTCCACTAACTTGGGGGAACCAACTGCAAACTTTATGCAGATGAATTGCACGAGGATCATGCATCAAATTGATGAAAAGCTTGTACAAATATCGTGCATGTGAACAGCTGCGTTTTGGTGTAAAGTTTTGTTAATTTTCACTGATTTTTATCATTTAACGAACTCATGACAATAATCTTTTCAACGTTACGAATTTGTTTTACAATATGTCAGTTCATGTATAAAACCTTTAAACAGTATGGAATATTTTGCAAAATTTAGTTTAGAACAGTTGCCTGAATTTAGTGGCTATATTTACACTATTGAGTCTAAACTTTTAATGGGAAGTATACAAACGGAATGCAATCATGTGGAGTATGGTCTTTGTCCCTGACAAATCTGACGGGGATGTGGGGTAGCCTAGTGGTTAAAGCATTCACTCGTCACGCCGAAGACCCGGGTTCGACTGCCCACATGGGCACAATGTGTGAAGCCCATTTCTGGTGTCCCCGCCGGAATATTGCTAAAAGAGGCGTAAAATCGTCCTCACTCGTTTAACAAATCTGACAGTCTAAGATCTCTGACAAACTGACCTTTAACGCCCCACACGGCAACATTCCAGGTTATATGACGGCGATTTGTAAATATTCGAGTTTGGCCTGACAGTCCAGTGATTGAGACCATGAGCATCGACCTACGCAATTGGGAGACGATGGCATTGCATCCTCCAAGTCACCGATTGACCACCTGGCCCCGTTAGTCGCCTCTTACGTCACAAATGGTTTGCTGAAGGTCTATTCTAGCCAGGACCTTCACGAGTCCATAACCGAAGGTGATGAGAAAAGGGAAAATTCTATGATTCAGGTTCTATAAAACAGACTGGAAATATGCAACAAGGGAAACAATAGGTCTACTTTTCTGTTTGTTTATTATGAGGTAAAAGTCATGCGTGCAATTTGAAACTCTGTAGAGTGGGAACCTATGACATGCATTGCCTTACTGTTTCATATCCTAAATTTCTGTGCAGAAAAACGCGAACGTTCAACAGGTGGGACGAGTTATCATAGCATCTCATGTACCCAATCCACGCTGTCAGGAGATAGCGACGTAGACGAACACCACCTTGACCTGACGGGGTCAAAGGGTAAACTCTCACGCGAACAGGAACAAGGTCATCGAGAATTATTTGGGATTGCAGCTATCTCAGTTGATGAGGATCCTTTTTAGGCGTCCACATAGATAAATCAGCACCTATATCGACCTTATCACCATTATCATTAACGGAACTCCTCAATAATGATAAAGGAAGTGTGACGAGTTCAAGGTGTGGGGAACGTTCCGACGTTTATCTTTTTGGGTGGTCAGTAATGGTTGATGGGCGCTTCTTGGAAAAGAATTGCACGGTGCCTTCTATTACAATATGAAATTGGCATTAGGTTTAATGGCTCGTTTGGTGTCGACAACCTTGTTCTGTTGTCACGATTTCCAGGAGCAGTTCTTGTTTCGTATAATACTATTCCCATGCATTCGTACGACACAAGCGGGCAAAGACCTTCCATCGTCGCCTGCATATATTACATGCTGCACATTTCACATGGTAAATAATAGACGAGTCTTATAAAACAAATTCAGAAATATTCTATTCCAGTGAATGCGAATGACGAATAGAACTCATGAAGAGATACACGCGAGTGGATGGCAACAGGCCTTGTAGTCTAGAATAGAGGATAGCATGTCATCGGACAGTCATAGTCGGATCCAGAGGCGGAAAAAAGAAATGAAAAAATGAACTGTGCTGTGTATCCGCCCCTGGTTAGCACATGACACATTATAGTGAACTCCTCGTTTGTCTGACCCAGTGTTGATTATGTACAGGTTACCGTTGCATATAACTGTTGCTGAAACATTAACCAAGAAATGTGTTTGAATGTAAGTTACTTTGTATTCATATACTTAACAGCAAAAGAAACGCAAGTTTCGAAAAAAATAAATCTGATAAATGTAAGCGTTCATGTTTATGTCTTCTATTTAAAAACTTGACAAAAAACCCCAACAGTTTCGTTTCTTTTGCTGTTCAGTATATTATCTTAGTGCATAACTATTTACGGGATTATTCTATTTCGAGTCTCATTTCCCTATATATCATTACAAACATCTATTATTGCAGGGTCTTCTTCGCCATAGCCTTCACTGGAATGGCCGTTGGTCAGGCGTCCTCTTTCCTGCCTGACTACACAAAGGCCAGACTCTCTGCCGGACTTATCTTCAAACTACTGGACTTCGTCCCCTTCATAGACATCTACAGCAACAAGGGCATCGTCCAGGTGAGTCACAAAGACTGCCAGGCACAATGTCACACATTTTCGACAATATTTTGGCCGGTATTATATATATATTGGGGCATATGCACTCACTTTAGCTTCCTATTGATGCGATAAAAGACGTATTATCCCTTACGACTTGCCTCGAATCGATCATTGAAACTTCGAGGCGAACAGCTTCCAAACAAAGAACACTTGCCAAAAATGAAATGTAAACAATTGCTTTGTACATCGAAAACTGTCGCACGCGGTGTTGTCGGTATTTGCCGAACTGGTTTCAATCCCAAGTTGTGCTTGGATATTCGTAAAGAGCGCTCCAAGGGACATAACTCAATGGGGTTCACTTGAAATAATGTTCGGCCGGTAAAGGGTGCGAGGGTCGATTTAATGCAACGTTGCATCAGTTCATTCAAATGTTTTATTTAATATTGTAAAAAAAATACGCATATATTTTTGGGAATAAAATAAATGGTAGCTTCCCTGAGGCATGGTAGATAGTATTATTGAGATAAATGCGATTTATTTTTAGAGAAGTGTGGTGTGATATAGTGCCTTTAATGCTAAGCTGAACTCCGTCTCAATATTTGTCATCTCTATATATGTACGTAAAGACGGTCGTAAACCAGTTTTCCTATCTCCTACCCATTTGACGGTTGATGACTGAATGTGTTCATTGGGTTGTGTTGCGTTATACTTTGAGACAGGTAACAGCTTAGGCGGCGACATGCATCGGGATGTGAGCTAATCCATAATATAGCGGGAATAATTGTGCTACTTGGACTGCTGTGTTTGTTTGTTTGTTTAACGCCTCACTCAGCAATTTTCCAGCTCTATGGCGGCGGTCTGTAAATAATTGAGTCTGAACCAGACAATCCAGTATCTAACAGAATGAGCATCGATCTACGCAACTGGGATACAATGACATGTGTCAACCAGGTCAGCAAGTCTGACCATCCTATCCCGTTAATCGCCTCTTACAACAAACATGGGTTCCTGAAAAACAATTTTAACCCTGATCTTCACGGAAATAAGAATGATAACTGGACTGCTGTGGTTTGTGCAAATATATGACAATGTGCGTAGCGGTAGCAAGCAATGAGATCGGGTTTTATTGACATTCACTGGGCATTCATGAGGTGGTCAGGTAGGTACTTGACATGAAACTGATGGCGGGGATAATATCGATCACTCGTTTCTCTGATCCAATCACGATTATTCGCACACCGACGTTCGTTCCATGTCAAAGAGTGAGTAAGTGAGTGAGTATGGTTTTACGCCGTTTTTAGCAATATTCCAGCTATATCACGGTGGGGGACACAAGATATGGGCTTCACATGCACATTATAGCCATGTTGGGAATCGAACCCGGGTGTTGTGGAGCGAAGAGCGAAGGCTTTAACTACTGGGCTACCCCACCGCCCCTCCATATCAAAGAAGACGTGGTAAATATAGACTGAGATTGAGAGTGAGGTATTTGACTGATGTATTTGTTTCAGAGTGATGGTAAAATATAGACTGATGTATTTGTTTCCAGAGTGAGGGTAAATATAGACTGATGTATTTGCTCCAGAGTGAGGGTAAATATAGACTGATGTATTTGTTTCCAGAGTGAGGGTAAATATAGACTGATGTATTTGCTCCAGAGTGAGGGTAAATATAGACTGATGTATTTGCTCCAGAGTGAGGGTAAATATAGACTGAGATGTATTTGTTTCCAGAGTGAGGGTAAATATAGACTGATGTATTTGTTCCAGAGTGAGGGTAAATATAGACTGATGTATTTGCTCCAGAGTGAGGGTAAATATAGACTGATGTATTTGTTCCCAGAGTGAGGGTAAATATAGACTGAGATATTTGTTTCCAGAGTGAGGGTAAATATAGACTGATGTATTTGTTCCAGAGTGAGGGTAAATATAGACTGAGTATTTGTTTCCAGAGTGAGGGTAAATATAGACTGATGTATTTGCTCCAGAGTGAGGGTAAATATAGACTGATGTATTTGTTTCCAGAGTGAGGGTAAATATAGACTGATGTATTTGCTCCAGAGTGAGGGTAAATATAGACTTGTGTATTTGTTTCCAGAGTGAGGGTAAATGTAGACTGCTGTATTTGTTTCCAGAGTGACGTGAGAGGCGACATCACGTTGAAAGACGTCCAGTTCCACTACCCTATGAGACCTGATGTCCAAGTGTTGAAGGGGTTGAACATTAACATCAAGCCTGGAAACACTGCAGCGCTGGTCGGAGTCAGCGGATGCGGGAAGAGCACAGTTGTGTCCCTTCTTCAGAGATATTATGACACAACCAGTGGGGAAATTGTAAGAATCAGTATAGTCTAACGTTTAGTCTCTTAATGTATAACCTGAGGAAATCTAGACTTGCTTCATTTAGGGCTTGAGCATTGCAGAGAGGGCAAGGCAGGAGGGACAATAATGTGTTTCGGGGACTGTGAGACAGACTAGAATCAGAAATGGCCAGACGTTTCTGTACATTTCGTTTTTGGGTTGCTGTATTTTTTTTGGTGTGCGTGCGTGTTTTTGTTTTGTTTGGGGTTGGGGTACGACTTTTTTTCCAACGGTTTATCGAAATTTTTTCCAAAGGTTAGGGTCGATAGGATGAAGGAATTATATAAATAAATACATAAATAATAAATAAAGTCATTTCAATTTCAAGTTGGTGGATTCGTAAAGCATGCTGACTGTATGTGGGCAGATAACTAAAATGTGTAGCACTGATATTAAAACGATCATACCAGTGAGTGGCAGAAGCCGACGACGAAGACGACGACGATGATGATGAGTGAGTGAGTGAGTTGGGTTTTACGCCTCCTTTAGCAATATTCTAGCAATATCGCGGCGGGGGACACCAGAAATGGGCTTCACACATTGCTCCATGTCGGGAATCGAACCGGGTCTTCAGCGTGACGAGCCAACGCTTTAACCGCTAGGCTACCCCACCGTCCTCGATGATGATCATGATGATGTTGTAAATTGGACAGTTCATTATGTGTCGGTTCAGATTTCTTTACATCTGCAATTTGTCAGCCACATTGAGATGATGATGTTTTTGTGACCTGTTTTGACATGGTCGGGGGCGATACGAGAGGGCATGGATGACTCACGAGGCTCACAGACTCAACAGAATTAATGAAAGCATTTTGTTTAATGGAGCGTCAGATATCCATGCTATTTATGCAGCAACAAACATACAATATTATATTGATATTTCAGTTTAATACGTATTTTGAACTTATGTTTCAGTTGATCGACGGCACAAATATACGCGAGTTCAATCTCGCGACGTTGAGGTCATTCATCAGCGTCGTCAGCCAGGAACCGATTCTGTTTGACTGCAGTATTCGGGAAAACATCGCATATGGCCTTGAGCGTGACGTCAGTATGGCTGAAGTCATCCAGGTTGCCAGGACAGCCAATATCCACGAGTTTATTTCTAACTTACCCCAGGTATAACGCCGAGGAAGCATGCTGATTAACAGCTGAACACCGTAACATGAGACGTTTGTTTTGTGATCTTTTCCGTATTATCCAATTAGGCTTTAGCAGGATGTTGGATAGATGTATTCATTAAAGATTACCCAGACTGCATGGTCAAGATTTAATATCTCGAATTGGGTATCTGTCAATAATCACTTTATTGCTTAAAATCTGTTTGATTTCAACTCAAAACGTGAGTCGTGAGCATATTGTTGCGATTCAATTATTATTAAGGGCAATGTCAGTAAGTATGAAATCAAGGTCTGGGCTCAACGTCAATTGTTTTGAAAAATTGTTGATTGAGGAAATATGCATGTATGACGTGAATGAAATAATTAGACACTGTTTAACTCCTTGGTTACAGTGAGTGAGTGACTTTGGTCTAACGCCGCTTTTAGCAATATTCCAGCGATATCACGGCGGAGGACACCAGATATGGGCTTCACTCATTGTATCCATGTGGGGAATCGAACCCGGGTCTTCGGCGTGACGAGCGAACGCTTTAACCACTGGGCTACCCCACCGCCCCACTCGGTTACAGAGTGCATTATACCTTCACTGAAGTGTGATTGTTTTAAGAATGGAGAAGTACTGTGTCCATTTTGTTTTGTAACCCACCTCGTTTATAGGGCGTATTATGTCTACAAAATAGAGATAATCAGAAACAGTGCATAGTACGTTTTGGAGCATACGCGTAATGTGTCCTGTGTATCTTAAGTCCTACAACTGATGTGTTTTTGCAATGTTCTTCAATGACCCTGGTTGTGATGTCTCCAGGGGTACGAGACGGCTGTTGGGGAGAAAGGGACCCAGCTGTCTGGGGGTCAGAAGCAGCGAGTCGCCATCGCCCGGGCACTTGTTCGCAACCCACGCATCCTCCTCCTGGATGAAGCAACCTCTGCGTTGGACACTGAGAGTGAACAGGTCATCTATTGAATTGGCATTCCTTTAAAACATGAACATTGTTGACGTTAATTTCAGTAAACGACCATGGTGAGACTTAAAACGCGAAAACGGTTCATCGATGCACGGCCATTTCAGACGGAACGATCCGATACCTGTATATATGTGTGGAAATATGTGGCATGGAATTAGAATTTGCCAATAACCCTGGAACTTTTTCATAAATCAACGCTTGATAGGTGAAATGCTAAGTGTGCTGTTGTACAAAGCATCCTCAACTCCCATACCATAACATAGACTTACGACTGTCGTAGCGCTAAGGTGATGGTAACTCCCATACCTTAACTTAGACTTACGACTGGCGTAAGGCGAAGGTGATCGTAAATCCCATACCATAACATAGACTTACGACTGGCGTAGCGCTAAGGTGATGGTAACTCCCATACCTTAACTTAGACTTACGACTGGCGTAGCGCTAAGGTGATGGTAACTCCCTTAACTTAACTTAGACTTACGACTGGCGTAGCGCTTAGGTGATGGTAACTCCCATACCTTAACTTAGACTTACGACTGGCGTAGCGCTTAGGTGATGGTAACTCCCATACCTTAACTTAGACTTACGACTGGCGTAGCGCTTAGGTGATGGTAACTCCCATACCATAACATAGACTTACGACTGGCGTATCGCTAAGGTGATCGTAACTCCCATACCTTAACTTAGACTTACGACTGGCGTAGCGCTAAGGTGATGGTAACTCCCTTAACTTAACTTAGACTTACGACTGGCGTAGCGCTAAGGTGATGGTAACTCCCTTAACTTAACTTAGACTTACGACTGGCGTAGCGCTTAGGTGATGGTAACTCCCATACCTTAACTTAGACTGGCGTAGCGCTAAGGTGATCGTAACTCCCATACCTTAACGTAGACTTACGACTGGCGTAGCGCTAAGGTGATGGTAACTCCCATACCTTAACTTAGACTTACGACTGGCGTAGCGCTAAGGTGATCGTAAATCCCATACCATAACATAGACTTACGACTGGCGTAGCGCTAAGGTGATGGTAACTCCCATACCATAACATAGAGTTACGACTGGCGCAGCGCTAAGGTGATCGTAACTCCCATGCCTTAACATAGACTTACGACTGGCGTAACGCTAACGTGATGGTAACTCCCATACCTTAACTTAGACTTACGACTGGCGTAGCGCTAAGGCTATGGTAGTTCCCATACCTTAACATAGACTTACGACTGGCGTAGCGCTAAGGTTATGGTAGTTCCCATACCTTAACATAGACTTACGACTGGCGTAGCGCTAAGGTGATCGTAACTCCCATACCTTAACATAGACTTACGACTGGCGCAGCGCTAAGGTGATCGTAACGGCTCCCAGGACAACAATCAGCCCAGTGAATGAGCTGGGGATGGTGCGCTGTTAACACTATTCTTGATGTATACACTCGAGCAACCTTGATTCGTGGATGTAAGGAAGGTGCAGCGAAAATCGTATTTTAAATGCATATCTTCATGTTGTATACTCACTGATTATTTTATTCATTGATTCAGCAAATTGAAAATGCCCAATATTCCACTCAGGAATGAAACATTTATTTACCGAAGCCATTTGCAATCATCATCCATTCGTGTACTCACAAAATGTGACGTAGTTCGTAAATTTTGATTATCACCTTACGTCACGTGATTTGTTATTTATTGACATCTAGGAAAGCGGACGACGAGATGTGAGAAGGCTGGTGCTAACGGTATATTTTTGTACTTGACATTTTGATAGTGCATCCAGCTAAACGCCGTGTTCCTACCAAGGTATACACGACGTTTAGCTGGCTGAACTAACATTTTGTAAACATAAAATTTGGTATATTAGTGATCTTGAGCTATTTATCTCAGTGCTGAACAATTAGATTTAGTATATTTACGTGTAATGCAGAGATTTGTCAGCGAGGCGTGGCAATGTATGTACATGTACATCAAAAGTACTGCTTCTTGACGTCATACGAGACTTGATTACCTAGATAGCACGTTAATTACCGCGATCCACGAATCAAGGTTATCCACGAATTTAGGTTACGGTTCTGTAGCTTTAGATGTAGGAGGAAAACGATGCAGGCCATAGCCTTTTGTCATTTCTGTATGGTGCTGACAGATCTATAAAACCTAACCAGGGCGAAAAACTGAAAAACACAAAAAAATGTGATGACTTTCGTTATGTGACAATAAAGACATCATTCCAAAATTGTTTACATCCACAAGTGCCATTCATTGATAAAAGTATGTTGCGTGTTTGGTGCTTTAGATACAACAATACTCAGACTGGACAGGAAACATCGTATGTCTCATATTGGACATGCAGTTTTCATCATAACCAACTGAATTGAATCTATTATTTATTACAACATACAATTGTTACCCGGCTATGACAGCGACCATTTACGTGTGGTGTATTAAAAGTGCCGTTTACGACAACAGATTGTCCTCATATTGTCCTCATATTGTCGTCATATATAACTTTACTTTTACTGGTTTCGGTCGAAAGAATACAATATCCACTCACTCCCCTGGACACAACACGCACGCACGCACACGCGCACGCACACACACACACAAAAGCGTAAGGCTCACACACTCTTTTGCTTATGCAATACTGTCAAGCGTTGTTCATTCTATTAAGAACTGATTTAAAATATTTTCGCTTTTTGAGGATACATGTTAAAAAGTCGTATTTTAATTGGTTACTGATGCAGTGAGATAGTGACGTGGATGATGACATCACTACCAAACGGGCTTACGGTAGCAATTGTTTCAGATACAAATATCAATCATAAAAACGAGAATGGATTGGTTCCAAGTTAGTGTTTTCTGTCTGATGCCTCACAGAGTTGTCGCCCTTGTTTCAGATTGTGCAGTCGGCTTTGGACAACGCACGTGAGGGAAGGACTTGTCTCGTCATTGCACACCGACTTTCCACAATACAAAACGCTGATGTCATTTTCATGATTGAGAATGGATCCATCATTGAACAAGGATCCCACCAAGAACTATTAGCAAAGAAAGGTGCTTACTCGACATTAGTGGAAGGCCAACAGTTCAACAAGTCTTGAAGAAATGTACTTTCTAGAAAACTATTTTTCTAATAATTTGAAGTAATAGAGTAATTAGAAAACATTTACATCGTTCAACTGATCCAATACATCAAATACATTATTTATTAAATATTTCTTTATGATTTTGTTACTTATTCCATTAACCGACTACAAGAATAATTAAATTGCAGGAGAAAATTCAGTTATATATATGTTTGTCATTTACACTGAGAATTGTGATAAAACCTGTTTCATGTATCTTGATGTTTTATTTCCGATCAACTCATGATTGATTTGTTCTTTGTGATATGAAGTGGTGACTATATTTTTATCTGATACATGTACTTTGTGTTGTGCTTCTATTTTTTGACACACCTTTGTTGTGACAACATGACATTGTTTCAGGTATTCTTGCAACATTCATTTAGATTCACAAAGATTACATGATATAGTATTTTAGATGTCCCCGTCTTCTTAAATCTAAATTTGCATGAATGCAAAAACATGACTATTCAGTGAGTATGGTTTTACGCATGTTTTAGCAATATTACTGCGGGGTACACCAGAAATGGGCTTCACACATCTTACTCATGTGTGGTATCGAAAACGGGTCTACAGTGTGATGAGCGGACGCTTTAATCACTGGGCTATCCCACAGCCCCTGAGAGAGAGACTGCCTGACTGAGTTGATTTTACGCCGCTTTTAGCAATATTCCAGCAACATCACAGCGGGGGACACCAGTAATGGGCTTCACACACAGTACCCATGTGGGGATTCGAACCCGGGTCTTCGGCGTGACGAGCCAACGCTTTAACCATTAGGCTACCCCACCGCCTCCCCTGAGAGAGAGAGAGAGAGAGAGAGAAAGTCTATTAAGAACCGAAGCCAAAGGGAAGAAGATATTATTACGATAACTTTATCTAAGATATGTATTTCTAACTTTCAAAGTCAATGTATTTATATTGCACCAGATCTTCACTTTTCTGCATTGTCAATAAACTGTTTCAAAGCACCACTTTATACACAGGTCAATAAACCTTTTGGTTTAATGGCATTTAATATACATTCTTGTGGCCTTTAGAATACCATAGCTTGCTTGTAAATAGACATGTTGTTTTCGCACAGAATATATTTTGTCCTGTCCCCATAATAGTCATGATTTGATTTATGTATATATTTTTTATTGAGAATAAACCTTATCTACTGTGAACATTTTGGGTATTCTGTTAATAAAACTTGAAAGTAGCCATGGGGCATTTAACTTAAGAAAAGAAAAACAAAGTTCATCAAGAACGTTTAGTTAAAAGTCTTACTACAAACCTGGAGTTGCTTGCCATTTGTAGGTTTTCAATATTTTACCATATAACTTGTTCCTTTGTCATGCCATTGGTTGCATAGTCAGGGATTCTAGTTTCTCTATTATATACTCAGCAGCAAAAAAGCTGTCAGTACGAATTCAAAATTAGATAGACACTGTAATCAAATCATTACAGAAATGGACATAAGCAGATCAAAAACATTTTTGGTGTACAATATCTTTACACATCAATGAATAACTTAATTCCAAGACATTACGTGAACGTTTGCAGTCCATTCAGACTCTTGACACCATTCTGCTGTAGGAAGTCCCGTGTAGCTCTGGCTGTATGGGCCCGGGCATTATCATGCTGGAAAATGTTGTTCAGGTGATGTGCGAAATGTGGTATGACATAGGGTCTGAGAGCTTGGTCGATGTAGCACACCGCTGTGATGCCGCCTCCTCTCCCTGGACCAAGGTTCTGGAACACCACAGGACCCACTCTCTGGTTCAGGCCTATTCCACCCCATACCATGATGCTTGTACCTCCCCATGAGTCTCTTTCCATAACACATTGGTCTGAGTAACGCTGGCCACGTCGCCATATTCTTCTTCTGCTGTCTGCAGTTGATACGCAGTACCAACTCTCATCTGTGAACAGAACAGTTCTCCATTGCCTCTATTGCCTGTAGGGCAAACCAGACGTTCATGCCAATGACGAGGGGGAGGATAGGTCCACAGTAAGGCCTACAGCAATGGAGGTTCCCGCTGTTAAGACGTCGGCGAACTGTATCAGTACTGACTGGTCTTCTGTGTGTTCCCACTGTCTGGCGTGCTGTTTCGACTGCCTGCATGAAGGGATTTTGTACATGCTATCGCACAATATGGCGGTCTTGTCTTGTGGTCACCCTTCGTCTGCCAGTACGGGGGCGATCATTTGTGGTGTTGGTGGCACGGAAACTTTGTTGCAGCCTGTAGATGGTCCGAACTTTGACCTGGAAGTGATTGGCAACGGCTCGTGCAGTGTGGCCAGCTTCATGTCTTCCTAGCGCCTGGTTCCTCTGAGCTGTCATGAGTCGCGGCATACTGCTGACATTGTAATGTGAATGTTTCAACCAGGTTTGAGGGGTGCATTGTCAGGCTGGTCCTTGCATGAAAAACATGGAGAACACCGTACCATCTCCATGATCAGGTTGCGTTTTTGAGACCATTTCCTGGGTTCCATTCTGAGTTTGGGAAGGAATGTCTTTGCTCAGGTGAAGTTGGAGATGTTGTCATAAATCAAAACATTAAATGAGTTTACAATCAAAACATTAAACTGAGTTTACAGTTATCTGTTTCTTGTGTGTCAGTTTTAAGGAAAAATTCCAAACTGATGTTTCTTTAATCCTGCAGTTTAGTATACAATGAATTACAGTATTGCCGCAAAAAACAACCATGGAATAAAACGATGGATAGCTGGCACAACAATAAATCAGGCAAAAACATCAGTGTTGTGAACTTGTGTGTCAATAATTTTAATTCTTAGAATAAATATTACAATACCTTCATTTGAAAACTTGGTGGAGCGGGCTGGATCACCGGGAAGTGTTGTTACAGTTCGTGAACCGACGACTTAACAGCGTCCGGACGGTGAAGCAATTTACTGGCATTTTACTGATTGGTGACTACTTACCGTCCGGTTCAGTCCTAGTTCATCTTCATTAGGTAGTTATGGTAACGGTATTCAGACATTACTGGACATCATGTCTTCAAATATCCATTCTCAGCATCCCTTATGGTAGCGGTATTCAGACATTACTTGGGTGTAACCAACACCAAATGAAAGTCAAGCTGCCAGTGTGAAACCCTCAATTTCAAGGGTCCAGCAGCGCTCACATGGCTTCTCTTCCATCCACTTTCCACAAATGAATTTGCCAACATACCACTTCTTCACTCCTTGTAAGGTCTCAATTTTGTCACAATAAAAACACACAATGAAAATGGTATATGCATTTATTCAGTTATGAAGCTATGAAATTTTCAAGTAGCAGCTAAAATAGCATTTACCTACAGGAGCATTTCTTTCATTTATGTTAATTTCTAACATAATAAAAAATTTACATATTCCATAATAATTCAGATAATCAAGAACCAATACATACATTGTTCTGTGTGAGACTGGGCATTGAAGAGGCCACACAACATTTTGATGCAAGAAGGGAAGATTTCAATCTCATAAAAATTGTTAACTGAATTAAAAAACCACTGCACTTTTGGGCTAGGTTAGAAAATTCACTTTTGTTCTGTAATAGAGATTGGGAAGATTTTTGAAGGGACAGTGTTGCAGAGAGTGAATAACTTTTATGTATCTTTAATGGGTCAAGAAGGATTGTGGCAATACCACTTGAACTGAAAAATCATGAATCAAGTGCAATGGAATGAACCAGTCTTTGTAAAAACGTAAATTGTTTGAATCTGGAAATGCAGACATGCTGAGCACCCATAACATAAAATTAGAAATTGAACTGGTACATTTAATCAGTTTTGGGATGCACGTTGTCCAGCGAGTACGTGTTGAAAACCTGCATTAACTGTCGAACAGGTTAATAGCACAATTTACATTCTCACGAGTGATCCCGCAAACTGATATAAATCCTATAACATGATTGGTCAGTATTCATGTAAGAAAGATAAGAACACATATTGGCTGAGTGGTGCCATCGGACAAGATATGCCAAGAAAGTATGTGGTTACATTGATCTCAGACTATCTGATCTTATTATCTCAGCAGGGTATGCAGAAGCAGTAACTTTTGTGTTACGGATATAAGGTATTTGAATAATACTGTCATTCTTGAAGACAAAATGCTGACTTTAACAGTTATCACTCCTATACTTTCATCCTTATCACTCGTATCCTTCGGTCAACAGTATGACCGATTCCACCATATACAGTTAATGGAATCTACTATTTTTCTTATTAATTAAACAGAATAAAATGGATATTTTCTGTGCAAGATGCAAATGACGTGACGTGAACGTAAATACGTGATTTGTTTATGTTCTGCTCAAATTTACACAAAAAAAGAAGAAAAAACAATTCCCGATGGAATGATGGTTTGAACTTCAAATGATTCTTCAATATTCCTTACTCCTTGTCAATACCAATTATCTCCCTTTGACCAACCAATGTGCAAAAAGCTCTTCAGCACTGAAATCATTGCTCCTGATATCTACCATTGAATATTTACAAAATTAGGTGCAGTATAAACAATGTGTTATTTTAAGTATACCAGACTGAACCTTGTACCTAGGTTGGGCTCTCAAGTGTTTTTCCAAAACTTGCACATTGTAATGGCAGACAGTACTAAGTACCTGTATTCCAAAAATATTTTGCAACAGTAAAATATTGCACTTTAGAAGACCTACAATGATTAAATAATAAATATGTTGTTGTTCTATACAAATTACACCATAGTATCTTACACATTTACATTTTTCGTAAACTTCTTTCTCTGAAACTGTACTTGGCACACTTTAAATCTTTCAAAAATAAATAAAGAATTAACAAACAAACTGATCATACATGAAAGCATAATTCACAATTAACTGCAAACATTTTATGCACAATTAACTGCATACATCTTATGCACAACTTTCAAACATAAAAATCTTTGTACAGAAAGAAAAACTTATCAAATTTCATTTACAGAAAGAACACGATTGCACCCTCTTCAAAAGCCAAGATTTATGAAAGTTGAGAAAACTTTATGAATGGTTATTTTGTCTGTGGCAAGTGTGTCGAAGTGTGTCGAAGTGAGAGTCCCAGCGTGGGCCAGGTCAGGGTTAGATTTGTCACACATACACTGAAAGACGCCTCTATCACTGGGCTTGTGGCCTCTTCGACAATGCCGCCATCAAATCGTTCTTTAATGCCTCCTGTTGTCCCTGGTCTGGAATTGGCATAATAGATCGAACACCATTCACAATGTCCCTTGTTTTTCCGAAATAAATTTCATTCAATGTGTTTCTAATCTTGTTCTCCATATCCTGAAAAACAACAAAAATGGGGAAGTGAATCAAAGGGAATCAAAGTGAAAAATTGTGAAAATCAAGAAAATTAAATAGAATTGAACATTATCAAGGAATGGAACATAGCAGAAATGAACATAAAACTAATTAAACGCTGACTTGTTCTTACTGATGACATCAAATTGAGTAAAAAGTACAAGGACAATATATAGGATTTTTCCATCATTGTGAGAATGCCTGGTATTCTGAGGTTTGGTCATGGTAGTAAAGCACAGAGAATGCTTTCAGCAAAGGTGCTAGACAACACAATTTTACATTTACATGTGTATTACTGAATCAGAAACAAGTGCATAAGTAAAATATATTATTGTAAATGATATTGTAAGCCCACCTCGACTAATCTACCAATGTTGACAATATGTGGTGATGCATCGCTAACCGAGGCGTCTTGTTCTACCTGAAACAGAAAAATGTAATGTTTATGATAAAATTGATATTTTACACCTATCCTGACTCATGCTTATTGCTTATCTCCCTTCTCCTTTCCATGGTTAAGTGGAAACTTGAATCCTTTTCAATTCCCTGAAGCGATCGTATAATCACTCACCCAGAGTAACCTCCCTTTTCCCGCCAAATCGGTCCCATATGACCTGAGTCTAGCTCTCATCACTCTTGGGTTTAACGTCGTGCTTGAGAATATTTCGCTCATATGACGACGTGCATGTGTATGTGTATGGCTGCTTGTACTAAAGTACTGTCGGAAATAGAAAAAAACTTTTTTCAGGCTGTTACTCTGTATCCCTAAAATTTATACAACTGCAAATAGCATATGTCGAAATAACCCACTTCGGCCTAACTTGGCATTCAGTGGGATGCATAATACGATATACAGACAAGCATGTTTACTTGTAAAATCAGGCAAAACTTAGAAAAAATACCTGTAGCGGCTGAAAACAATAGATCAGACTACAGATGGCAATTAGGTCGCTCAGCCAGGTATGACTATGGACCGTCGACTTACCTGGCATGAAATGCATGTGCTGCCTACAGGCACAAGGGGTCATCTCAAAGATAGTTTGTGCTTTTTCATGTGTGTTGACTATGCCTCATCTATTGATTAACAGCTTAAGTGTCTTTCTTTCATAAAGTTTATGTAAAAGAGTTTGATACCTGATAACCATAGAAACACATCGTATTAAATGTCTCAATATATAGGTGACATGACCACCCGATTGCAAAGATCGACAGGACTGGATATTATTTGTAGATTGTTATGACATGCCGTGTACTTCCCCAGTATAATTGCCCTAAAGGATGATCTTATCTTAGATGATATCTCTATCCCCCAGCCCGACCCCAACGATCATCTGCGACACCCATCCAGGTTTTGCTTTTAGAGACGAACCCTCCTATCTGTTTCTTTTTGTAGTGACAGTGAGACTTCATGGTAGCTACATACTTAATAGTTTCAGCATGAAAGTTATAATGAAGCTACATCTATTTTCAAATTAGGCATTTAAAAACTGTCCTTTGTGACACAATATTGTCGCACACTAATTTGCATAAAGCCATGGTCTGTTCCAAATAAATCGTTTTGGACTTAGAAAAAAACCGCATTGCTCATTTCTGCACTAATCTCTCCTTAGTAAAGTCCCTTTTCTACGTTTCCTATGTCTCAATCACTGAGACTGTAGTTAGGCCAAACTTAGTTTAACAGATATTTCACACTTGCACATATCAACTACATAAATTGTAGATATAAATGAGAAAATACAGTTTTTTTCTATTTCCGACAGTACTTTAGCCCAGACTTAAGCTGGTTTTATAGTGCTAGCTCACTGAGATACCATGCCGCAGTGAAGCATGAATACCCCACTCTGACACATTATACTGACTCTGAGCCGACCAGTCCTTGTTGTACCCATTAATGCCGAGCGCCAGGCAGGGACCAACAAGTGCCATATGTTAACGTCTTTTGGTATGAAGCGGTCGGGGATCGAACCTATGGCTCTAACCACTACACCACGGAGGAGGTCAACTCTCTTTGAAATTAAGCTCACATTACACATTATTCAAGATTAAAAGCTTGTCATCCAACCTCCATTGAAATATCCCTGTCCAGAATGATTGTTCAAAGTCTTTTCATACAAAAATGTATCCAAAAATTGGGAATGATCATCTATAATTTATTTATGGTATTCAACAGAGTTATGCCTCTGGTGGTGCCATGATACATACCTGCCTGGTGAGGCTTCCACCAAGATTCATGGTCCCTGAGCTCTCCTTGTTTGTTTGTAGCCACAACATCACGGTGGATGTTAGTTTATAATGGGCACTTTTTCCACTGGATTTTTCCTGCAACAAGAACATATGCAAATGTATGTGAACTTAATCCAACACTGACAGTAGTGCTGCAATGAATACACTATGAAGCAAATACAATAATTTTAAGAAATATAGCAACGAATACCAATATTTATTCATGCATACATTATGGTTATTATCTAGGAATTACAATAAGAACCATGTCATGTAATTGCCTAATTGGAAACATTTAAAAAATATTTTCTGTAAAACTAAAAAAAGAGGAATACAACACAAACAATGACAGTTGAGTCTGGACAAGCCAGTGACTGGAGAATTCATTTTTACAACCAGCATGGCTGCTGAGGACCATTTCTAACCCAGAATCACTTTTACGCTACCTGAACTTCTATGACGTGGATGGAATCCCAGCAGCCCTTAATTTTCTTGGATCCATCACCAGCTTTCTTGATAAGAACCACGCCTGCAAAACCATGGTCCAGGTCCCATAGATACACTGAAGAAACTCCACCCTCGAAGTACCTAGACAGGCAATAAAGAATCATTTCATCATTTGCATTCATACAATGATAAGTCAATAAGTGAGTTAGTGTTTAATGCCATATCACCAATATTGTGGTTGGTATCTGTGAGATATGACCAGTAATATACCAAACTACCTGCAATAATAACTCCTTGTAATTTGTCAGTTCCCTAATCCTTACATTTCTCTAAATTGGTCAAAAGCATTGTTAGCTTCTATCTCCAGCTTCCGTAGCCTGTCTGAAGGCATGGTGCCATCATCAAGGGGCGGGTCGTATGTGTTGCTCCATGGAGATCTGGAAATATAGGAAATTGAATGTTGTACAATATTATTATAGTACATTTATATAGCGCACATATCCAGGCGACTAGTGCATGCTCAAGGCGCTGGTATTTTTCCCTCGATCACTGGATGTCAATCTTAACGGCCTATCGTATTATCAATCTCAACTCCCTGGGGAGTATACAACTCTTGCTGCCACCGAGTTATTGTGGCTTTCTCATCCTAGTGAGGTACCCATTCACAGCTGGGTGGACTGGGACATATAGTCACAGTACTTTGTCCAACTTCACTGCACGTTGCTGTACCCACAACTAGGTGTTTGCACGTATTCATGAAGCCACCATCTGGTCATATACCAACACATAAGTCTTTAAACTAAAGCAGGAAAAGGAAAATCAAGTTCTATGGAAAGTCCAGGGAATTACAGGACACGAATTCCTGCATCCCATACACATAAAAATTGACAGTGGATGCAACGAAATTTATTATCACGTCCACTGGAACGCAGAAAAAAACCAAAATACTTTTTGTAAAAATTTAGATCAAGTGACAATAAGTTACCACTGAGTCTGCTACTAACTGGGTATAATTTGCAATTTAATTGCTGTAACATGATACACAATACAATAACAGTAACTAAAATTACAACAATATTACAACATGGTATTAATAATAATATGTTAGTGTCTGGGACCCCCATTTTGTAGTACAGGACCCCTGAAAATTAAGAGTACGAGTCCCAGTGACCCTCAAATACAGGACTCAAGGTAAATCCCTGGATAGTCAACTTCTTTCTTTCAATGAGTGTGACATTTCTGTGTAGGTACTAACGCCGTTATCAAGCAAGTGATGGCAAGCAGGAAAGTTAAACTGTCCTTATCATAACACTTGATATTAATGACTGGAGTTAAATTTTGAGGGTTAATCAAATCAAACACCATAGTAGACCCCAATGACACCAGTGCTACCATTAATTTCAAACACAGCACATGATGGTATCAGCAAAAACAATCAAGAGTTAACAGGAACTACTAAATTTCCATGAACTGATACCATTAGATCAGTCGAAACAATCTTATTATTATCATTCATATATGATGGAATCTCAGCTATTCCCAACAATCTGGGACAGATTGAACAAAGCCGAGAAGGTCCGGGTTAGAATATTGGTCTTCTGTGACCCATGCTTGTCGTAAGAGGCGACTAATGGGATCGGGTGGTCAGACTCGCTGACTTGGTTTACAAATGTCATCGGTTCCCAGTTGCGCAGATCGATGCTCATGCTTTTGATCACTGGATTGTCTGGTCCAGACTCGATTATTTACCAGGGTTCAAATACCCCATATATTAGTGTGAGTGAGTGAGTGAGTTAATATTTAACGTCACATTGGCAATATTTCAGCCATATCGTGACTATATTAGTGTGCCATGGCATGGTAAATATTGAAATGACACGGTTAAAAGATGTTCTCTGTGCCCTTTTGACACGCCTAATTTTCTGGAGACATAGCTCACATTTAGTCATTTAATCCCCCAAACAATTATTTTTGAGCAAACTGAATAATACCATACATATTTGAATGCTCATAAACCCATTTCTTTATTTAACATTAAATTTCAAATGATTATCATCATTGTCATTTATTCTAAAAACATGTGGGCATACTTGATTTCTGAAAGGCACACCTAACATATTTGTCTGGTGCCCTAAGGCACACTTAGAAAAAAAAAGTATTTCTATCCCTGATTTACAGACCACCGCCATATAGCTGGCATATTGCTGAGTGTGGTGTAAAACTAAACTCACTCAGATTGAACATCGATTCCCCACACCCCTGAAGCATGATGCTCCACCCACCTGTAGGAGTCCCCATCACGGTTGTAGTCACACAGCAAGAAGTCCTTTCCCAGTGTCTTATCTCTGGCAATCTTTAAGGGCTGGTCCACAGAAGAGAGGAGGTCCTCACACAAAGCTGGCACCTACAGCATAGAAACAGAAACTTTTATTATGCTGTGTTGAGATTTTCCGAGAGCTTGTATTTCTGGCTTTACAGGGAAGCTAAAATGTTTCTGAAGAAGCTGCATCTCCATTGTTTACTATGTCTCTTGTCATTTTCACTCCAACTGCGGGGCGGTGGGGAAGCCTAGTGGTGAAAGCATTCACTCCTCACGCTGAAGACCCCGGGTTCGATTCCCCACATGGGTACAATGTGTGAAGCCTATTTTTGCTGTACCCCACCATGATATTGCTGGAATATTGCTAAAAGTAAAAGCGGTGTAAAACTAAACTAACTCACTCACTCCGGCTGAAACCCGCGAAGATTCTGTTTAGAACTGTTTATCAGCAACCCATAACTTGTCGGAAGACGCAACTAACGCAATCGGGTGGTCAGACATGCTGACTTGGTTGACACATGTCATCGATTCCCGATTGCATATATTGATGCTTATGCTGTTGATCCTTCGATTGTCTTATGCAGACTCGATTATTTACAGACTGCCGCCATATAGCTGGAATATTGCTAAGTGCGACGTAAAACTAAACTCACTCTCTCCAGCTGAGAAGGGTGTCTATCCCTGCCCTGTAATGTTCAACTCACCAAATCTATGAGCTCGCTGAGGTTCTTTTCTATCTGTTGTGGTGGAAGTCTGCGCATCAAATCTAATGCACAATCAAGTTGTTGCTCCGTCTGGAAAAGAAAGAGATGTTACAAAACAGGGATGAACTTGAAGTCTAAAAAGTCTCTTGCTATGTTTGCATTGGATGATCAATATTAGGAAGGGGTTCAAATTGGTGTCTAAAGGCCAGAATTACTGTCGGAACTTGTTCACTTGGCATGTAAATTCCTTTGCACCTTGGTTAGAATGTTATGCTGTGTACTATCCTGATACTGAACACCCTTCTTGTGCTTTAGAGATAGCACAAATCCATTGCCTCGGAGATAAAAAAATTCCTAATGTTTGTTTTGTGTTTTACATTGCACTCATATTGGACGAACATAACCTGAATTTATTGAACTAAACAGTAGTCTATGATTGGAATAAGTAGCAGAACCTGCCAAGTGACATGCACAAATATTTTTTAAAAATATTTATATTTCAGTTGCTGTAAACTATAGGAACAGAATGAAAAGTGAGATCTTGCCAACATAACCACCATGTGTTTTATTTGGTTGTAGATATTGTGGTGGTTTAGCCTTGAAAGAATCATCGAACCCTGCTAGTGATAAGAATGTTATTATCAGCTGAGTTGACAACCTGTATCTGATGTAGCTGATGAACTAATCTGATACAGTCACTGACAGTACATAGAACTGAGTTTAATCCAATCAAATGAAACCAGTGACAAACATAAGTCCCAAGTCCATAGGCTCAATGTCATTAGCATAGTTAAATTACACAAATATGTACTTTGAAAGTGCTTTATACTTTGATCATGTTGTAATAATTACCACCTGATTGAACCCTATTAATGTATATCCTAATTCTTGAGTCAAGCCAGACCAGTCACACTGATTAACTGTACTTGACAAGCTTAAGTAATCAATCACACTAATCTCTTCAAGGCAATCATCAAGTGACATAGGGCCATGACCACTCAGCCATAAATACACATCAATCAAACATGGGAGTGTTGGAGAGATGTGTTTTGTTGCTGTTTACATCCGTTGATATGGATTATCAGTATAGTTGCCTTCAATGCAAAATATAGGAAGTACCTTTAGAGTGTAACAGCATAGTTACAATAACATTTGAGTATACATTCAAATGAGCATCCATCACTCATAAGCATACACCTTGTACTCTGAACATACAAAACAACCACTGATTGAAATCTCAGGATTGGTTCAATTCTGGACCATATCAAATCAAATCATCACCCATGAAAAGTTGACTCAGTATGTGTTTAAAATTGTCACAAAGAAATAAAGATGGTATGCAGTTCTGTGTTTAACAGGATGTCAGCTTAATTGTTGAGAGAGCTTACATTTGATATCAATTAGGCAAGACGAGTGTAGTAAAGAGTACTTATATATCAATAATCTAAGGGTACATTTCCAATTAGAAGCCACACCCTGACTGTTAAGGAAACCAAGGGACAAAACTCTGCATGACTTTACAGTTTAAAAAAAAAAAATTCAAACCTAAAATGTATTCAGGAGGGTCAATGGGGTGTGGTCAATTATAAGCTTACAAATATTAAATATGAAGTAACACCACCCCACATGTAGTACAAGGTGACTATTTGGATTGGAATATTGTCTCATTGTACCATGTCAGCATGGAAGGTTGCTGGAAATATCAATTACTAGCTGCCATGAAAGAGCTGGTACACTGCAGATTGTGGAATAAAAAACAACATCTGTAAACATTCCTTGTCCACATTGACAGTTATTTGCTTTGAACAATGTAAGGAAATATCATGGGAAATGGTGAGTTTTATGTCAGGATGTGTCTTACGGAACTTGAGCATGTACACTCAGCTAAAATGTAGTCAAAGGGGCTGCCTTGCTGTTGACAATCATAAACAAGGCTTTCTCTCACTTCTCTATTTCTATAACGGAGTGAAAATATGCTGAAGAATTTATCAAGTCTTTCTCTAGATCTATTTATTTTACATGAAACAAGACAGTCTTCACAATTAATCCTGCTTTTATAATTCTTATGCATGAGAAATGAAAGCATATATCTTTACAATATGTGTCCTGTTTGGAAAAAGACGTGATTGTTATTTGAAAGCATTATCACTGTTGACTTGGCGTATTGTCTATTATCTAGCAAAAAAGCAAGGGAGATGATATTTACAAATATCTATATGCCAAGGGCAATTATGCAGAAATGTGTCATTATTTATGTCCCGAGTTACTTAATCAGTCCTATAAAAGATCATCACACGCATTGTAATTTGTATGAAACAAATCTGAACTTACACGAGAAATTATCCCAAACACTAAATCGAAGATCACATGACAATAAACACTTTGAATATTCTGTTTACATGTTTAGCAAATTTGAGTGCACGTGAAGGCCTTTTGAATCAACATGCTTTAATCTTTCGTTTGATTCAAGTACTTCCTAGATCGGAACATAGACCATTATCCTATAAATCTTGAACTGAGTCACATCGTTTATTGACAGCTGCCCGTTCATCTGGTTGAGGAACTCATGTGACAAACGCTCACAAATGATTGTCAGATATATGAGCGAAACAATTATCTCGAAAAATATGCTTCTTACCAGCACAAACAATCAATCATGCATATTTTAAGACTGACACATTCTATTTTCACAGAGTGTAATTATTCTGATGATAAGCGTCATATTATTTCGTCGTCCGCCCCTTCCGGCCGGCGAAAACACCTGCTAAAATATAATCATGGTACTAAATAATACCGATAATGTGCATCGGTGTGCCGAAATAACGCCCAGATACCCTGGCAAAGTATTTCAGACAGTCTTACCATTGTTGAGCTGTATGTGAAGGTAGACTTGCAAACCCGTTACGAATCAGGAAGCAATGGACAGCTCCGCACTACCTCCAAAATGGCGTCAATATCCGGGCATTTCTGTTCGGGATTCCCCTGGAATGCTTCGGGCGTCTCCGTATACTATACGAAATCATCCGAATGGGGGCTTTTCCAGAAACTTGGCCAATGAAAATTAGCGTAGTATTTATTTCCATTTTTGGAAAGGAAATTGCTGTACTACTTTCCCATCACTAATGATGCGTGGTCAAGCAGGTGTGCGATTAGAGTTCCAGTCGAATGTATTTTCTCACATGATATATAAACTTATTTTGTATGATATTAAACAAGAATTGTAAACAAGAACCTGTTTTTTTATTTCTTTTGTCAATGAAATATCATTGACAGTATGAGGCATTTGAAGAAAATTTATGTTCAGTAATGTGTGTTATATGATATCATACCACGATGAAAAGTAATTTGCCTGCTCTGGATATTTCCTATCAGTTCTTCATTTAGTGTTCAAATGTATGTGCTTTTGTCAAACCAACTGCGAAAAGAGACATTGTAGATAGTTGTAACACAAGCACACTCTGGTATTTCTCATATTTTCATGTGGTATTTTTTGTAAACCCCTGGGAAAGAAAAACCTAAGAGCCTTTTATTTTACATGTATTACAATTGTTTTTGTCTTCTGACACTGACATCATTTATATTGTCCTCATGCAGATTATGAAGAAAATGACAGGCACCTGTGTCACGTGATTTCCGGTTGAAGATAAACATAGCACTTTCCTACCCTAAGGTGTTCGACCTGATTAATTTTCAAAGTATTCCATCGATTTCACCGAGAGGGCGGGGCTCTGGATAAGGGATTTATACTATAGTGTTTTAGGTAAGAGAAATAGACGCACTATTGCAAATATGACTTTGTGAAAGAACCAATGATGCGTATTTTGGCTGAAGGATGTCGAGTACACAAGTAAATACGGTCACACTATAATTACATTCAGGTGTCGGTAACTCCAGAGGGATCCCAACACATGGTCCAGCTCCTTTGATTTGCCCCCCTCCCATCGCCCGAGCCCCAAAAGTCAAACAACCTGTGGTTATTCCAAAGTGTGGTCGACTTTGACCTTCATGTGTATAATTTATCAGCCTACTGTAATTTCATGCAAATTTTACATCGATCTCGATTAATTACTGTCCACATCATTGGACCTAGTTATTGCTGGTGCCAACACTTAATTGTGGACGTCATCATTTGTAGTTTTGTTCAGATTTCCGTGCCTGTTGTAAAATCTGATGTTTACCATTACGTATTTGAAAAGGGTGACTTTTTGTCAGCGTATTTGTTTTAGAATTGATGTCATGATGTAATTATCACAGATTATACATCAAGCAGGAGCTTTTGTTATTTGTCTCTAGTTTAGACCCACAGACATGGAAATTCTTCTAGAGTGGTATGACCGTCCTTGTGGGTGTAGGCTAATTTCATGCATAGACCACCCATACAATGTGTAATAGTAAAGGTATGAGCAATAGTGAAGCCTGTGGACACACCCTCTGTTGCAAGTTTGTTCCTCATCAATTCTTGACATACCAGAAAGTTTTGTACTGAGGTATACAATTACTTAAGGAATGTCATGTGAATGAAGTAAATAATGAGTTAACTTAATTATACTGATATTAGTCTTACATATTTTAAACCACTGAAAAATATCTTCACTTGTTTTGCGCATTTCACAAACTAGCTGGAAGGAGGGTTTTCATATTTCATTTGATTTCTTGGTAAGAGTAAGGGTAACTCCGGCTTGAAATGTATTCTATTTATTATGATTATTTTGAGGGGTTAGGGTAGGCTTTCTATAAAAACTATCTATTCTTGGGTGTATAGAGTGCTAAAAAAAACATGTTACGGGCAGAAGTCTTTCCGATTTCTATGGAGGTGACAAATATGTCAGTATAAATGTCAATCTTACGGGGTTTTTTAAGGATGAAATATTGTTTGCTTTTATTGTGTATGTGTTCATTAATTATTTTATCTTGCTTTCCCACAAAATTAGCATGCTAAAAATAACATGAACACTTGTTGTAGTCTGTTGCATAAAGGCATTTCTAAACATTGCTTAGAGACAAGATATTTAATAACAAAATCTCTGGGCATGGTGTAGGTTCATTGCATCAGTTTAGAAACATGATGCATGGTTCAGTTATTCCTCCAAAATGACGGTTCATAATTTGATGTCCTTATTTTTAAGGGATATGGAAACTGTGTGTCCTTTTTACAATTCCAGATTTCATTTGTAGTATCTTATAGGGCTGGATATTGCCCTGATTCTCATATTGCGATATATTGCAATAATTAAAACAATATTGCGATACATATTGTGATATATTGACTGGAAGGTTTCTGTCCAAGTGTGTACATAATAAATTCATTTTTTGTTCTCTGTGTGCGACATCATCTTCTTAGTTGCTGTTACACCATACTTTCAGGCTCCCCATCCCCATTGTGTATGGCTGTATGCCAGTGGTGTACAGATAAATGATATAGAGCCTTAATGTGGAGTGTTTCATTGAAGTAACTGTATTGCAACAAAGTTTTGCGAACATAATGATAAAGGTAATACTATAACAGGATTTTCATGGCCACTGTAATACTATAACATGATTTTCTTGCACTTCAATGCAGTATGTAATTATTGTTACTGTTTGTCAGTGATTCATTCAGATTCAACTCCAACATAAACATGTGTTTACATGAACTGTTGTAAAATGAAACAAAAACATGATTTAGGTGAACTGCTTAAGCATAAAATCTCATGTGACCGCCAATAACTAAGATTCTTTACTAGAATGTCATTGTACAGTACTACAAAATTTATAAGACTTTGGCCTTTATCATAAATTGATAACATATGTCCCATTATGAAATAAAACAAAAATAACAAAATAATGTGAATTGTGAAATGGTCACTCAGAGCCAGTAGCTCTACTTATAAGTCCAAATAAAAGATTGGCAAAAGTTTTGAAGGGCATTTATAAGTGGAATGCATAAGAAAAGCAAGATTTATGGATGTCAACTTTTTTGTTGTGAATATTCATGACCTGATGAAGGAGCAAGCATACACTCCGAAACGTGTCATTCACAACAATAAGTTGACATCCATATATCTTGTTTTTCGTGAAAGATTGGTAAATTTGAGGCCACTTAATTCCTCCAAAACGTCACATATGAAAGCTTTAAACCCCAAAACTTAAGCATTTGGTAGAATATTTGGCACTTTTGCAGCCACTTATAAAGACACTTCCACTTGTAAAATGTTACATGAAACAGAAAAGACAAAAGTATATTTGGCACTTTTAGAGCTCATTTTGTTGCTGTGGAAATCAAGGGCAGATAATTCAAAGGGAGCTAACTCTGGATGACCCCAATATATTGCAGAATCTGAACCATATCGCGATAATCGCACGGGAGATACTTTACCGATATATACCGGTTCACCGGTAATATTGCACAGCCCTAGTATTTTAGCTCACTTGAGTCAAGTGAGTGTATGTACATGGATTGTTATCTGACATATTTTTGTTCTTATCTCCTGACAATAAATGCCTTTATGAAACATGGTGTCCAGATTGAAAATGTCATTTGGGCCATTGCACAGACAACCCAAGATGTATCAAAATAGAGTTGTGTAGGAAATTGCACAGTAACCAATTATGCAATATTTGGTCCTGATATGACCTTTGACACATCGGTAACCCTGTTTTACTTGTTTCCACATATTTGTGACATCTCCTTTGAAGCTACGAAGCCGATGGAGCTGAAACCTTGAGCGATCACATGTATGTTGTTTTTATGTTGTGGTCCGATCCAATGTACATCATGGCTTCCATAGTAGCAACATTGAAAATGTCTTTTCTTGTCATAACTCTGCCATATCTGAATGTATCATTATGAAATTTTGAATCAGGTATGTGTTTTTTGGATTGACAAATTTTTGAAATTACATCTTTCAACCTGAAATTTCATGAGTTTCTTGTGTCACTGCATTAGGTATGTCTTCAACCTAGTGAAAGCTTTCACCATTTTCACAATGTGTGAAGCCCATTTCTGGTGTCCCCATGTTTGTTGCTGGAATATTGCTAAAAGCGTCCAAACTGCATCAGTGTTGTATGTCACCCTTGTTTGTAATGTGTCAAGCGTATTTCAGGAAATTAATCTCATATCAAGACATTCCCTGCCTGTGGCACACTGGCTTTGTTATTCATGCTAATCTGTCAGACATGGTATAGTTAGAATAATACTTAGTTTAGTCAAGATGAAGTTCTTTATACATTACTCATGGGGCAGACATCATAAAATCAATATGTGAATAACACAAGAATACTTAAGTGATATTACACTGGAGTGTTCAATATGTTCTTGGTCCACTAATGCCAAAATGATTGAATTATACTGTTTCGTACAGAATTCGGCAAGCTGTTACAAGTTGATGGTTTATAGAAGGTATATGTCACAGTACATCTTTCCAAAGATGGCATGCAAAGGCTCAATACATTTCCAGAAATGAAAGTTCTAAAGATACCAATGCAAGGTGTGTAGTTTGAACTTTCACAATAAACTTTAACCTATTTTATGATAGTGTTTTCAAGTTTTTTGCATTGGGAATTTCTAGTGAGGCAATATGGTTTTGGCCATTCCCCTTTTACAAAATCTTATAGTCATGGTCATTTTTACTATTTTCTTAAAGTGTCATGTTTGTATGAAGTACCTCAATATACTGTGCAAACCTGTACCCTTTACATGTTTACATGATTTACTGGTCAGGGTTTGAATCCCAAATTTGTGCTGATTATGATCCTTGGTCTACCAGCACTTTACCGTGGTGCTCCTGAGAGTGATCCATATCTACTGCCTGCATCATTGTGTCTCCATCTGAGACATTGTGTCTGCATCTGAGACATTGTGTCTCCATCTGATACATTGTGTCTGCATCTGAGACATTGTGTCTCAATCTGATACATTGTGTCTCCATCTGATGCATTGTGTCTCCATCTGATGCATTGTGTCTCCATCTTGTGTCTCCATCACATTGTGTCTCCATCTGATGTCTCATTGTGTCTCCATTCCTGATGCATTGT